AACCGAGGACTTAACTTTTTCTCAGTGCAGCTCTTATTTAAAGTAGCTCAGGTGCCTCCCTCCTCACTGGCCTCTTGGGTTTCCCAAAGGCAACTTCCATCCTATAAGAGGGCCTCCTATCAGCAAGTTGCTTTCCTGTGTTTGTCAGAATCACAGACCTGGTACCTCCCTCAAAAGACAGATACAACACGTTAATCTTTAGAAATAACCTTCACATGACTCTTTTTTTTTTTTCAATTAAAATGCCCTGAAATGATTTGAAATATATTTTTTTCTCCTGAAATATCCACTCTAACCCCTGAAGTCCTAGAAACTTACTCCCTACCTACTTCCTGCTTCCTTTCCCACCACTCAAACACCTCACCGCCTTAGACATGATTGCAACGCACAGTGACTCATTGGACAAGGACGAAGTTCCCCTGTGGATTCCCAAGACGGTCTGTATGGCGGCAGAAAGCCTCACCTTTCTCCCACAGAGCCCTGGGGCATGTGAACCACGGATCTGGTGGTTAGCAGCTAAACACATAAACTACTATGCCACCAAGACTCCTTATCTATTATCTTTTTCTCCCTACCCCTCTCTCTCTTCCCTCTCCAAATGCCCTCTTAACCTTATCCCAAATAAAAAAAGTTCCACAAAGCAACCAAATATCTTTCCCGTTCTTAAGCAGAGTTCCCATCGGCCTCAGTCAATGTCAGAGAAAGCTTCTATCTTCTGCTTCTGGCAGCCAAGTCTTGATGACAACAGAGTCTTTCAAATAAAGACATGTGCAGACAGAAACAGTATGTCAGGAGTGATGCTCAGAGGAGTAAAGACACCCACTAAGTGTAGGGTGGAAAAGATGAACATTCAGGTGAAGAAAACATCAGTATTAGAAATCAGCCACTGTTTAATGATGGAATGAAAGATGCCTTCATAGGGCTGGCAGGAACCAGGATAACAACAGACAGCGCGTTGTCATCTCACCCCACTTTGTATCACAGCCTTGAAATCAAAGGAGGGAGAGACAGAGATGTTGGCTTTTAAGCGAGCTAAAACTTTTAGATGACAAAGAGCCGCTGTTTCAGAGCACTGTTATTCAACTCCTGCAGTTGAAGAAAGAGTCCATGAAAAATCGACTGTCAGGTACTCCTCATATTAGGGGTGACTTGATTCCCATCCTCAGTGGCAGCCTGGGGTTTCCAGGTCAGTGACAACTTAGAAAGGTGTGATGGGTACTGAGTAGGTTTGTCTTAAGTAATTCTGAGATTCAGCCCAGGGTCCTTCCCTTAGAGAAGCTTTCTTTTATTTACTTACTCATCCATCTATTTGGTCTTTCAGATATTCAAAAAATATATATTGAGCAGCTACTATCTGTCAGGAATGAGACTAGGTGCTAAGAATGAAATAGGCAAGATCTCTGCTTTCCAAGAGCTTATCCTTGAGTACAATGGTTCTCTAATTTGTAGAAGTGTAAGAATTGCCGGAAGGCTTGCTAAAATGCGCCTCACTGGATTCCTAGATTTTCTAAATCGGTAGGTTTAGGGTACTCTTCCACTGTGAATAATGCCCAGAGAAAGAATACTGTGAATACTCGTCTGGGGACACCAGAGGGTGATGCTCCCAGTCTCCCATGCCTCAGCGTCTGTGGGTGCATTGTACCTGA